GAGAGAGAGAGAGAGAGAGAGAGAGAGAGAGAGAGAGAGAGAGAGAGAGAGAGAGATGTGTTTGAATCATACTTGCTGCGTATCTCATGCGCGGGGTGCCGCACGCACAAGTGATGCGGCGCATTAAAAAAGTAGAGAAACAAAAATGTCCTAGTTGTGTCCAGCCTCTTTTTGGAAGGATCCGTACAACATATTAGCTAGGACCCGACGTCACACAAAGATACACTTCAAACTTGTACTCGCTGAGGGTGGGCAGAGAATATATAGTCTGGATTCGAATTCAGGTCTGTGCATGTCGGGTATGGGTCACCATTTCTCTGTTTTCTCACTTTTCTTTTCTTTTCTCGTTTTTCTTTTCTTAGGAATACGTGCAGTGGCCCTAAGGGCCTTTACTCACCAAATGCACAAAATACAAAACATATGGTGGCATATTATTCCACGTTCTGCAGAAGATTCATTCTAATTTTGCACATTTCGTGAGTAGTGCAGCCAAGCCCTAAGAGTCACGTGCAGAGACCAACAGGCCCTAGCTACGTGAGCAACCCATAACTGCTGAAACACAGACCTGAATCCGAATCTTGAGTATATATTCGGCCAGCTCGTGTTCTCTTTCATATTCACTGCCTGCCTCAATTTTGGTTGGGGGGTCTGCACTACATGTTTGTGAGGACCCTTCGGATAGCCTGCATGGGCCGTCTGAGCCCTGTTTCTCTCTCTCTCTCTCCCCCTTGTGTACACGCACACCCCTTACAAAAAAAAAAGAAGAAAAAAACGTATCTGCGCCCCATCCCAGACACACCCCCAACCCCAGCACCCCTCACCCAGACCAACCTGTTATGAACATGATTGTCTGCTGAAATTTTATCAACACTCACTCACTGAAACTCCCGTACACGCCCATACATGCACAAAAGGAAGGGGAGAGGTAGTGGAGTATCACACCGCCCAAAGAAACGCAGCGGAAGACTCAGGGGAGCGAAGTGACAGAATACACAGACAGTGAATTCTCCCCACGCAATTCCCAACAATCATTCATAGAAGACAACCGAGTGATCACAGCCAGAAAGCAATGAAGAGATTACAACTCAACCACAGTATTGATACTGTTTATGAAACTCAAAGCATCATTTTCTCTGAATAACCTCGTAACCCTGACCCTGAACAACTAAAAATAGCACCGAAACCCCAGGTAACACCCAACGCCACCCTGACATCCAACTCAGTGGCCTGCGCCAAAGTGAAACAGGCTCCCAGAGCCAATCGCCATCCAGATGGTGAAGAAGAAGCTCACCGCTAACAGTCTCTGATGAAGATGAAGTCCAGACGATGATAATCTCTGAGAAGATGCAGCTATGGCTGCATCGCCACTGGGACCCTACTCCTGAGGAGGGTCAGCAGTGCACCATGTGCTCCAACGCATCAGACCTCTGATAGCCCAGACCGCTGTGACTCTCGGAGAGTCAGAGCGGACAGCGTTGACCCCAGTCCGGTCAATGCTCCAAAGGTCCGGCTATGTCCGTCGTGTCCAGCACCGGAATCAGCAACCACGACCTGATACCATGCGCGCAGCAACTTCCACCACGAAGTGTCACCTGCCAAAAGCCCTTGACCGGTGTCACCATCCTACCTATACTCTACTCTAGCCTAGACCGACCTAGACCGGACTGACTGACCGACCGGTACCGTTTCAGTTTCGGCCTCTAGGGCCTCTCCCAACCCGGCTATAGGCTATAGGACCGTCTATAAGCATAGGCCCATAGGGCCTGTTTGTCCTAGGGGTAGCCCGGGTCTGCTATTCGCGGTTAGGGTAACTGTAGGAAAATCGAGTTAGTATAGGGCCCATATTTCTATATTTACAGATATGTCCCTCACGAATTTCCCCTACAGGCAGGTCTCTTGGTTAGTCCTCAGCCAAACAAAATTACGAATCTGCCCCTACCTAGAGTACAGCCTCGTCAGAGATAGGCTACAGGTAGCCGGAAACCAGCAAGTCATTGCAGACCTACCCTCCCCCAGAGCGAGGACCTTTGAGCTAGGGGCGTAGGCGTGCAGAGCGTCGAAGGGGTTCTCCCCTCCTCGCAGCCTCATATTTGAGGATAACAGACTTTGTTGTCCTCAGAAGTTCCTTGCGAGTAAACCAGCGGTCCTCTGTATGGGGCTGGTAGAGGAACTTCACAAGGTACTCCTTATCCAGGCCTGTACCATACTCATCCACAACTTCTTCCACCTCATATCCCTTCCCAGGGATCAGGGGACCGAATTGTGGAGGCCTGTCTGGAAATGCATCGGCTGGCGTAAAAGGCAACAGCTTAGATGCATGGAAGACAGGGGAGGTTTGCAGATGCAGTGGGACATCTACATGATAGGATGACCCGAAAGGGTCAGCCCCCACTGTATCCAAAACCTGCCATGGACCCATGTAACACGGCAACAGCTTAGGCGAAATGTCCTCCTCCCACGAAAGCTCAGAACTGAGTACCCAGACCCAGTCACCAGCGCGAATGGGGGATGGTTGACGATGCTTGTTAGCCTGCTGAATCATAGCCTTTTGGGCTTTGAGCAGGTTAACTCTGGCTCGTTCGATATCCCTTTGGTACTGTCTGGTGAACTCTGCAGTCCCAGGAGTCAGTCTGGGAGTAGCCTTATCGACGATATCATCGAGAGGCTGTCGTGGCTCACGTCCCCAGTGCAACCGGTAGGGGGTGAACCCTGTGGAGGAGTGTACAGACGTGTTGTACACTAGTTGTGCCCGCCCTAGATGAAGATCCCAATCCTGTTGATCAGGGCTGATCATAGGACGCAGCAACTGAAAAAGAATCTGGTTCATCACTTCAACCTGCCCATTGGCTTCAGGATGATGACCAAATGTCATGTTCAGCCTGGAATGAAGGTAGTCCTTGCAATAGGACTGCCATTCATTGCTGCAAAACCGCGGATCTCTATCGCTGATAATAGAGGTGGGTGGTCCATGGTGAGTAACCCACCTATCAGCAAAGGTCGCTCGCACGGCCGGGACTCTGGCTTCCTCTGACAGAGGAATAAACTCTGCATACTTAGAGAACCTGTCAACACACACCATAACCTGACGCATACCATGAGGGGTAGACCGCCCTTGATCAGTGAAATCAAGAGACACTGACTGTGCAGGTGCCTTAGGAATGGGAAGTGGTTGTAGTAGGCCAAGGGGAGGTCGGCGCACGACCTTGTTCCTTTGGCACAACTCACAGGTTTCAACATAGTGCAACATGTCTTTCCTCATTTCTGGCCAGAAGAACCGCTGCGACGGGGCAGCCAACGACTTTAAGGCCCCAAATTGGCCGCGAGCATCATGACACTCAGACATCATGAGTGTTCTCAGCTGGTGGTCCTGAGGGATGCACAAACGTTCCTCTCCTCTGCTGCAAGTGTACAACAGACCTGAAACTAGAATATATCCTGGTTCAGATGCCGGATCAATCTGCAGATTCCTCACAACTGGGCCGAAAGTCGGGTCCTGTGGCAATAGCTAGGCAATGGTTTGACGGGTACTCTCTCCAAAAGTATGAGTAGAGGAGATCATGCAGACAACGTCAGGCCTACGAGAAAGGGCGTCTGCTACACGATTGTAGCAACCCTTCTTGTGTTTCAGTTCAAAGTCAAAGAGATCAATGAACTGAATGTAGCGCGCGAGCTTGTCATTCAATTCCCCTTGGGTCTTCATCCACTGCAAGGTGGAGTGATCAGAATAGATCAGGAAGTGCCTGCCCATGAGGAAATGTTTCCAATGCTTTAGCGCTGACACTAGAGCATACAACTCTTTCTCGTATGTGGAATTCTGCAGCTTCTTGACTTTGATCTTCTTACTCATGTACTCAACTGGCTGCAGACCATGCCCACCATCCTGCTGAAGTACCGCCCCAACCCCATACTGACTAGCATCAGTAGTTAGTACGAAAGGCAAGGTAAGGCCAGGTAGCTTCAGAACAGGTGCACGCATCAAGGCCTCCTTGAGGCGTGTGAAAGCCTGCTGATAGTGATGTCCAAAGAAAGTGGGTGTCTTTCTTGGTGAGATCAGTCAGGGGTGCAACAATAGCAGAGAAGTTCTTGATGACTTCCTGTAGTATGATGCAAGACCCAATAATGACCGGACATCACGAACTGTGGTAGGGTGTGGCCAGTCCTGAATCGCTGCAATCTTAAGCGCTTCAGGGGCCAACCCTTCCCCAGAGATTACATGTCCCAGATAAGTCACAGAAGTCACTCCAAAGGAGGACTTTTCCCTGTTGATCTTATACTGGGCCTCATGTAGTGCCTGGAGGACGAGAGCCAAATGCTGCGCATGCTCCTCGACAGATCAACTGAATACCAGGATATCATCCAGGTATACAACTACAAACCTGTCCAGGTAAGGCCTGAGTATGCGATGCATCTCCGTCTGGAATGTGCCCGGGGCATTGCAAAGACCGAAGGGCATGACCAGGTACTCATAGGTGCCGTATTTGGTCTTGAAGGCAGTCTTGTGGACATCGCCTTCAGCCATCTCAGTCTGGTGGTAGCCAGATTTGAGATCGATCTTGCTGAAGATTGTGCAGCCCTGCACCATGTCCAGCAGATCATCAATCCTAGGAAGGGGCTCTGTACACTTCCTAGTGATTTTGTTGAGACCCCTGTAGTCCATGCACATTCTGAACTCTCCATTTCCCTTTGGAACAAAGAGAACTGGAGCCCCAAATTCGGATGTTGCTCCTTGTCCCTCACCGATTCAGCAGGTTTTGGACCGGTATCCAGACCTGATGCAGGAGCCTATTGGACTTGTCCATAGGCAGACCCAACACAGGATGGAGCTCCTGCCAGGTGCGGTCCCTCCCAAGGGCCGTATCTACAGGATGTCACCTGCTGAACTCGATGAGCTCAGGAGACAGCTTGAGACCCTGACCAGCAAGGGCTGGATCAGGACCAGCAAGGGCTGGATCAGGTCTGATAGCCCAGACCGCTGTGACTCCCGGAGAGTCAGAGCGGACAGCGTTGACCCCAGTCCGGTCTAGGTCCGTGTCCAGCACCGGAATCAGCAACCACGACCTGATACCGTGCGCGCAGCAACTTCCACCACGAAGTGTCAACTGCCGAAAGCCGTGGACCAGTGTCCCCATCCTACCTATACTCTACTCTAGCCTAGACCGACCTAGACCGGACTGACTGACCGACCGGTACCGTTTCAGTTTCGGCCTCTAGGGCCTCTCCCAACCCGGCTATAGGCTATAGGACCGTCTATCAGCAAGGCCCATAGGGCCCGTCTGTCCTAGGGGTAGCCCGGGTCTGCTATTCGCAGTTAGGGTAGCTGTAGGAAAATCGAGTTAGTATAGGGCCCATATTTCTATATTTACAGATATGTCCCTCACGAATTTCCCCTACAGGCAGGTCTTTCGGTTAGGCCCCTACCGAGAGTACAGCCTCGTCAGAGATAGGCTACAGGCAGCCGGAAACCAGCAAGTCATTGCAAACCCCCCCATCCCCCCACCAAAACCGAAATTTTATTGCAGATTCGGGGTCCTCGCGCTGCGCGCAGAGCGACCCCGGTTTCAAAAAAAAAAAAAAAAAAAAATCTGGGCGTTTTTTTGTCCTGCCCGGTTTACCCGGGTGGCCTCTCCGGGCCCAACCTGCTGGGCCCTGCCCGGCAGGGCAGGCCCGGCCGGGCGGCGTCCTCACTCAGAAAAAAACTATGTTATGCAGAAAATAAAGTGAACAACTTTTGCCCCAGAGTCACATCGATTTTTTTTACCAAATAATAATTGAACATTGAAAACTTTTTTTTTTAAATTTTTCATTTGAATCATTTCTATTTTTTTTTGGCCCTGCCGGGCAAGTGGCCCCGGGCCACTCTGGTAGCCTAGCTCTATACCTTTCTCCGCCTTTTGGCTAAGTAAGATCAAGTGCAATGTATCTGTTCTGATCAGTTTAATATCTGATCCGTGGTTCATCGGAGCGCATTCAACAACAAAAAAAAAAGAGAGTAAACATCACCTATGGTCTTCGTCTTCTTCTCCTTTTTTAAAAAAAATTAATTCCCTTCTTCCTTTGGCCTTGAAGTGGTGATAGCCCCCTAGTACCTGATTGTAACCAACAGTGTTAATAAGTGTGAATCTGTTGATCAACCCTCGTTAAGTTATTAACTTATTATATATTTGTAATTTTGTATATTTCCGTGTACGATCAAGCCACCAGGCCCATGCAGTTTTTTTTTCTCCCTTTTCTTTTTTTTTTTCATCTTCCAAGGCCCAGGTGGGGTTTAACTGATTGGAAGTCATGAACCCTTTGTCAACAGTTAGGTACATTAGTGTACCCATCTTTTGACAAAGGTTTCATGGCTTCCAATGAGTTAAACCCCACCTGGGCCTTCGACCAGCCTGAAGGGCACACAAATGACAAAGGGTTTACGACTTCCAATAAGTTAAACCCCCCCTGGGCCTTGGATCAGCCTGAAGGGTACACAAATATGTACCTAACTGTTGACAAAGGGGGTTCATGAGTTCCAAATAAGTTAAACCGCACCTGGGCGGTGGAAGACAAAAAAAAAGGCAAAGGAGAGAGAAAAAACTACATGGGCCTGGTGGCTTCATCGCACACAGAAATATCCATACACTTATAAGTGAAACTCCGACGAAACAGTTTGTCACAGCCCCTCGTTTATTGTGTCTTGTCCTCTTCTCCCTCTCTGCCTACGGTTTACCGGGCATATATATATGACTATATATATAGATACAGCCCCTCGTTTGTTGTCTTCTTCTCTCTCTCTGCCTACGGTTTACCGGGCAGTTCTGTGTGTGACGATATATAGATATATATAATAATATATATAATAATAATAACTACTTAATTGAGTGTTGATGAACAGATCCAAACCCAGGTTGGGATTGCTGGTTGGTGCGTCTCCTGAACCGATGGTGGTGTTTAACCCAGGATGTAGGGGGGGGGGTCTAAGTCTAACCCAGGTTGGTTGTTGGCGGGTGTGTCTCCTAAACTGGTGATTAGATGACGAGCGCGAGATCTCTTCCTTATCGGTTCCTTCATCGATGGCCCGAAGTCATCACACAAGGGCGAACTGTAGCCTTCATCATCGGGTCAGACGTCTGCATCGGAGGAAGGGCACTGGAATGGAGTCGTTCATTGCGGCGTTTGCTCAAAGCAATGTCGGCGATGCATCGCCGAATGTTCTCGGTGCATACTGCTTGGATACGGGGGAACCCTGCGACTTCAACCACAGTACTTGCGGAGGTCGTAATGAACTCTGCTATGGAAGAGGACCTGCGTAAGGATCGCCTGCTTCTCGCCCGCTTTCCCCGCCCAAAAAAAGTTAATAAAATAAAATAAAATCACAAAATTGTAAATTGTGGATCTGTTCTGCTCTTAGGAGGTGGTACCCACACGACCCGGGAAGGGGACACGTGTTTTGAAATGAATATGTTCACCTGCCACAACTCCATTTTTTGGCCTTTAAAAGAAGAACTTCAAGATAAATTGAAAAAATCAGCGAAGATGAATGAATGGTGAGGGGTGCAGGGAAGGTACAAACTACCTTTCTGGTCGTATACAGTCAAAATGAGGGTGAGTTGTGTTTGGGAGAAGAGAGTAGTTGCATGTGGATTTCCGAGTCAGGGTAGGCGATCTGCATATCCAAGGTCTAGTGCGACCAGCTGCACCTTTTTTCCACAAAACTGACAAAAAGTTAAAAAAACTGCGAAAAAGTACATTGAATTACGTTTAGTGTGACAAACTGCACCTTTTTTCTGCAAGACTGGCAAAAAGTTAAAAAAACTGCGAAAAAAAAAGACTCAAAAAGTACATTGAATTACATTAGTGTGACCAGCTGCACCTACTCTTCCACCAGGATGCTGAGCTATCTCCGACTTCTGCGAAATGACGGTTTGAAGAGTCTTCATTTGGCCGCCAGTTGGTAGTACATTGCAGATTCGGCCTTTTGACTGACCCTGCATTGACTGATATACAGTGGCTGGGTCGCGCTTCGGCCGGTTGGTACATTGTGGATTCAGCCAAAACATGCTGGGCCGAGGCCGAGGTGCTGGTCCTCTTGGGCCTACCGGACCTTTACTCTGTGAACCTGGTGCCCAGGGCCTGCCTGCCCTGTGCCCCAGCGAACTCACACATGTTCAAATGATGTCATGCAAAGGAACATGCTTATTGAGTCTTTTTACGCCCATCATGACCCCCATCTTTGTTTTTTGCCCCTCCTTCAGCGATATGAGGAAGCTACTTCTGTTGTCATGAAAAAAAAAGACTCCTCTGTGTGTGTTGTGTGGGGGGGTGGGGGGGGTGGGGAGGTGGGGAGGTGGGGGGGTAAGATAAAAATAAAGAACCCAGCCGCAAAGCTTCAGATCAGACGACCTTTCCCAGAAACA